AGAAGTGTCAGAAGACAACTGTATTCTCATTAGAAAACCACTGTGCAAGAGAATGAAAACGGAGCACACTTTAGAAGTGTTAAGGAGGAATTGGCTGATACTTATCTCACGCTGCAGTTGCTATTGATCCAAGCAACAGCAAAGAAAGAAAAATGATCTATGACACATTTGTCAGGCAAGCCTAATAATGTGCAAGAACTCCCTCATTACTCCTGTAATGGCCATCAGACTTCTCTCTAACTGATCACACTTCACAACCAACAGACATGTCACCACCTCTATACTGTACTGTACATCAGAAAAGAACTTAGTTAAAGTGTATCTTGAGACAAAACCTTTTATGTTCCTTTTGGATAGAGTGGGAAAGGAAAGACAGAACCCTCTGTCAAGTTTTTAACGCTGTTTTCAATGCTGTTGGTGGCCGTTGTTACCAAGAAAGAAAATTATGAGAAATCCAGAATGTAAGAGTTGTCCCCAGTACAAGAGATAAAAAGAAACGTCCAATGGCGATTTTCTGTTCTGCAGACAATGTCTAAGATGGGAACTCCCTTCTCTTTGGGATATTTTTTCTAACCTACTTTCCAACCTCACAACCGAGAAATATGTTGCCTGTATTGTGTTAAAGTGTAACTAAAGGCAAAACCTTTTTTTTGTTATGGATACAGTGGTTGGGATTAGAACATCTTTCAGTTTTTATTGATGCCTGTGTCCCCATTAGGGATATTCACCCTATTTGTCCTGTTTACTGTTATAATTGAAAGTGAAAGTAAAAAGAAAATATCGAATTTTGGGTTGACATTAGAACACTAATACGGGGATATCTTCCAAATGGGGAAACACACTGTTGACACACTGGGATTCTCTCACTATGGTGGAATGTCCTCTCACTTCCTGTTTTGGTTATGAAAAAAGAAGCAAAGGCAAATCTCCCCAACGGGGCAAAGATGGAAAAAAAACTGATGGGATTATAACCCTCCCTTACACTATCCAAAAAGAAAAAAAACGTTTTGCCTTTAGTTACATTTTAAATGGACTTTCCCCACAATAGTGATATTTTAGTTACAGGTGGAGCCTTGTGGGCGGAGTCAACCTTTGGTTTCTTATATGTTTTGGACACCCCCACAGTGAAATTTCCCCTCCATAATTTCCAACTCTGTTCCTGTCTGTTTGGGTGTTTAATGTGGTCTCCCCACTTTTGCATGTTTCAGCAACTCATGCTGCATTCTCCAAAAGATATAATAGAGCAAAAATCCAGCAGGGGGAACATACCGTAATGTTTTACATGTTATTTACATACTTAGAAAATCTATTTGACCAATTTCTTTGTGCTGCAACCCCTTCCATATAAGTTCCTGACCCCTTCTCACCTGCTAGCATTGTATTTTGGGCCTGCTTATGCAGGTCTTCACTGCAACTGGAAATTTGTGACTGAGAATTTAAATTATAACATTCTGGGGTGAGGGTGTGCAGCTTTTTTGGGTACAAGCCTTTGCATTCAAATTCATGAACTATTGGGTATCATGGATGAAGCACTGGCTGGAGGTGGTCCAACATGTCACCATAGTGTAGTGTCAAAGTATTTAACCACTTTTTCTAGGGTACATTTGGAACAGGAGAGACACCATAGCCACAGAAATAAGACAGAAGAACATTGCACAGTATTTAAATACTCTTACTAGGCCGCATTTTGAACAGGAAAGATGCCAACCAGCTTTTAATCCAAAAATCAACATTAGTGTGTATATTTCACTGGAAAAGCTAGCAAAATATTGTAGTGACTATGCACAGCATTTAGGCACTTTTACTAGGCACATTTTCAACAAGAGAGGAACAAGTCAATTTATAAATCAATAAACATTATAGTGCATATTTAACTAAAAAGAGCTAGCAAAATATTGCAGTGACTTCATGCACAGTTTATAAGTACTTTTATTTGGTTGCATTTTGAACAGGAGAGATACCACCAGCTTTTATTCCAAAAATCTACATCATAGTGTATATATTTCACTGAAAAAAGCTAGCAAAATATTGTTGAAACTCCATGCACAGTATCTAATCACTTTTACACATTTTTAACAGGAGAGATACCAGTCAACTTTTAATCAAACAATTAATATTAGAGTACATTTAACTAAAAAAGGACAGCAAAATATTATAGAGACTCCTTTCACAGTATTTAAGCACTTTTACTTGGCTGCATTTAGAACAGGAAAGACACTAGCCAGATTTTAATCTAAACATCTAGATATAGAACTTCAGTGGCACTGCATAGGATGGTAGAAACTCTTTCTCCCTGCAACCACTCTGATCTGACCTATCTACTTCATGTTTCCTCCAACACAAACTGACAAATGGTTACCGCGAATTCTGACTTTTATATGGAGAAGGCTGGAAAATAATAAAACCCCCATGACTGACCCTTCTAAGGAACCTCAACACAATTCACATGCCAGGAAGTGCATTGTTGGTAATCAGTTGCTATAGACTGGAGCAGCTCATTAGTTCATCATTTTCTCTAACTGCAGACCATGTGGGTGTTTGAACTGAACCCAGAGCTTATTTTAAAGCCGATATCTTATTCCAGTAAGCTACCTTTTCTTCAGAGTGACAGCACTTCTGTGCAGTTTCACTGTATAATGAACAGAGTAACACCCTTTTAAAGCAAGTGGAAAATCATTGGATCTGACAGGTTTTGCAGGTGATAAAAATTATGTTGGAAGGGGCGAGATGAAAAAAAACAAAAACAGCAGTAGTAATGCTAGTTGCAGACTGCATTAACTATGTTGTATCTTAAACTAGCACTGACCCTCTGAAGAGCAATCCACCGTGGATCGATTTTCAGGATTCTGGTTCACTTCGGCTAGTGCATGTGTATGGTAACAGAAGACTATAATATTTTGGGACTACAAAGATGAGGAACCAGTTTTATTGATTGTTTGCTGAGTGTAGCTAATTAGAACTGCTGTTCCAGAATAAATAAAAAAAAAGATTTTTGACACAAAGATAGTGTGAATTTTGTGCACTAGAAAGGCAGGTCAATTGTTGCTAACAGGCAACCATCTCCCCAAGGTAACCACCTTGCATATATGAATTATTTATTAATTACAGGTACTTATATAGCACTGTCAATTTATGCAGCACTTATATATTGTAAATTCACATCAGTCCCTAACCCTCAAGGAGTGTACAATCTAAGGTCCCTAACTCACATTCATACATACACATACTAGGACCAATATAGACAGAAGCCAATTAACCTACCAGCATGTCTTTGGAGTGTGGGAGGAAACCAGAGTACCCAGAGGAAACCCAGGCAGGCACAGGGATAACATGCAATACTCAAGCAGGTGGTGCTGTGATTGGGATTCAAACCAACAACCCTAGCGCTGACAGGCAGAAGTACTAACCATTTAGCCACTGGGCTAGCTGATCTACAGTTCAGTTGGTTGACAAGTTAAAGGTTAAAGTGTTACTAAACCACAATAGTAAAATCAGTCTGTATATGCAGTAAAGCATGCTTGATATGCTCACTGTGAAACCTAAGGGGTTAATCCTCTGTATTGTGTAAAAATGCTTTTTGATCCTGACTTCTCTGATCCTCCCCTTCTTCCAGTGTCCCCCTCTTATCTCTTGATAAGACATGTGTGGAGACAGTTTGCACATCGTTAGTTTGATGTGTATTGCTAGAGAAGTCACTGGAGAAGGAAATAATATTTTGGAAGATCAAAGTAACTAGGCAAAGAAGGATACTGGCTACTAGATGGTTGGACACATTGACCACAGCTGTGGAGATGACAGTGGAAAATCTTGCAAGAGTAGCACAGTAAGCCTCAGTAAGCAAGTATGAGTGGCAGGGAATACTGTTCAGCAACCCTCTCAGCAGGAATATCTGTAAAGTGGTTCTGTATCAAAGGAACAAGAATGTGTAGAGACATGAATGGCAATTTGGTGCTGGAGAAGGATTTTAGGCATGCCATGGACAGCCCAAAGAAATGATAGATTAATTTATGAAGAGATCAAACCGGGTATGTCACTAGAAGACCAAATGATGAAGTTACAGCTGTCCTATTTTGGTCACATTGTCAAAAAAGAGAGGTCACTGGAGAAGGAGATAATATTTTGGAAGATCGAAGGAACTAGGCAAAGAAGGAAACCGGCTGCTAGATGGTTGGACACATTGACCATAGCTGTGGAGATGACACTGGAAGATCTTGCAAGACTAGCACAAAGTCAACTTCTCTTTAGATATCTCATCCATCAGGTCTTTAGGACTCGAGTTGATGGCACCTAACATAAGGGAATTCAAAGTAAATCCTACTATGTGAATAACAATAGGACCCTACACTACCACTCCTGTCAGAAAGCAGATGCAGGTCCCTAGATCTTCACTGCAAAGGTAACACAGCTTGATCCACAACAATCAGCTATCTGAGTGGACAGTGATGGAGCAGCAGCACACTGATGAGCTCTTCCCTCCACCGATCCTGATTTCTCTGCTAGTAAGAGCGTCCATTGTCCGCACATGTGCAATGCAGGAGAGCCTGATTGGTTCATAGTGATAGCTTTCCTTTTCCCAGTACAGAGTGCTGCTTTGTAGTAGAAATATGAGGCTGATAACAGAAGAATGCTATCAAGACAAAATTAGGTACCTAACAATAGTGCAATTAAAAATAAATCTGCCTGGATTTCAGGTTTTAAGTGAACTTTGCACATTCTGGCCAGTCCACACTACAGCTTATACATAAATTACCTTTTCTGTTTGCTGTTCTCTTTGCTGCCAGGCGTGAGGATAAGAGGTCTTCTGTTAGCTTTAAAGTGTTACTAAACCCACAACAGTAAAATCAGTCTGTATATGCAGTAAAGCATGCTTGTTATACTCACTGTGGAAGCTAAGGGGTCAATCCTCTGCATTGTGGTAAAACGCGGTTTGATCCTGACTTCTCTGATCCCCCCCTTCTTCTATCTCCTGATAAGACATATTGTGTGGAGACACTCTGCACATGCTCAGTTTGGTGTGTATTGCTAGAGAGGGTTTTTTTTTTTGTCTTGGGAGAGTGCATGTGATCAGCACAGGGTCAATCAACACTGTCCAGACAGAGATCAGGGGTTTTGCATCCTCCTCTGCTGGAACTGATAGAAGTCACAAGACTGCTCTAACTTTTGATCATAAAGGCATTTAGCAGCTTGTATATACTAAAATAAAAGCATTTCCATGTTCTGTGTACTGTTGGAGACCAGATAGATTGAATGCAGGGTCCTGGGTTTAGTAACACTTTAAGATAATCTTTGAGCGAATCCAGGGAAAAGGACCAGTATTGTTACTTCCCCCGCACCCCAAAGTACCCATATTTTGTGTTCTCTCCTGGCATTGGAATCATGCAGTGGGACAGCAAAGCAAAGGTAAGTGCTACAAAAGCCAACATTAAAGCCCTGCGGGGCAAGGTACAGATACACGTAAAGTCAATTTCCACTTATGCAGCCATATTGTATGGAGACACTGTGCACATGTTCAGTTTGGTGTGTATTGCGCAAGAGTTTTTGTTTTTCTTGGGAGAGTGCATGTGAGCAGCACAGGGCCAATCAGCACTGTCCAGACAGAGGTCAGGGGGTCTGCATTCTTCCAGAGCAGAAATAAAACAACCTCCTACAAGCTTTAACCAGTGCTCTGCTGGACACTGATAAAAGTCACAACTGCAGATGAGAAAAGGTATTTAGCAGTTTATAATTGCTAAAATAATTGCATTTCCGTGTTCTGTGTACTGTAGGAGACCAGATATAGTGAATGCAGGGTCCTGGGTTTAGTAACACTTTAATTTCAGCACAAGAGCTGCATTACTGGTAACCAATCAAACTGAACAGCATGAGCAGCATTGGTTTGGATGCCAGAAATGCCATGCAAGGATGTGGGTCATATTGTAGTTGTTAGTTGGGTTCTTGACAGCCAGCCTGACTTTTCAGCACACAAGTCACATAAGCAGGCACAGATTTCCTCCCATAATAACATATGGGACACTCTTGGGGGGTGCTATTTATACTGAGAAATCCACTACCTTTTTATTATAAAAATTCACTAAAAACCTCTTTAAGAGGTATAGAAAAGTCTAGGCTCAGCTAAGAATGGTTACTTTCAATGAAACAGCAGGGGCTGCTGACACCTAATCTATATCTCAGCTTTGTATAATAAAATGGAATCACCTTTGTATGAACTCTTCACTGTGCTAGGGCAGACCACAAATGTGCCATGTTAATGTACTATTCCTCTCCTGGCAATGATATGTCTAATTCTCCATTTCTTATTTCCCAATAAACTGAGCTACAGTTTTGACTTAGACTCCCTGCTGCTTTCCACAGCATTTTTCTTCTGTGTCAAAATTCCAGTGGAAGAATGGATGGATGGAAAATCTTGTACATGCTTTGAAAAATGTATATAAAAAGCAGCGGTCAAATGCACAAAACGTAAATTGCAATCTTTTTTCTGCATGAAAAAAGGATAAAGTAACAGTTATTTTTTGTTTTATTGTGACGAGCTGACAAATCCATAGAACATAGTAAATACATCCATATTAAAAATGTTATTCAATCAAATAATATTTTAAAAACTCAATGAACCTTCATGATAAATATGAAAACTATTGTTATTTTTCAAACCTGGTTGATCCATGTCTATCAGCTTGTAAATCACCATTTCTTTAGTCCAGGGCTTTTATTGGCATTGGGGCTAGGTACAGACAGGCACTCTTTGTAGGAGCCCCTGCAATATCACTGATTTGCCACCAATAACAATGCTGCTATGCAGGGTTCCATGTGAAGCTGCTGCATTTTCTTTTATCTCTTTCCTAATAATACTGGGAACAAGTCCCATTTTTACCATCCTGAAAACACCAGCCAGGTGGCAACTATATGACCACCTAGAGCTTGAGGTCACATTGCCCACAACTTTGCAGGAACCTCCACATAATGTTTAATCTTAAGTTTAATCAAATATTTTTTAAAAATCAGCAACAAAGGCAGCACTTGCATTGAATACAAATTTTCCCTTGTGCTGGTGGCTGCCATGTTTTCTGGTGCTGCGAGGGTCAATACGAGCCACTATACTGGACCTTTTCCTGTCACTCGTCAAAAATGCTGACTATGGGGTTGATTTACTAAAGGAAAATAGACTGTGCACTTTGCAAGAGCAGTTGCCCCAGAGCTTAGTAAATGAGCAGAAGCTCTGCTGACTTCCATCATCCAATCACTTGAAAGCAAAAAATGCTGTTTTTTTTATTTTCCTTGCACGTGATTGGGTATTCTTTGCAAAGTAGAGCTTTACCTCATTTACAAAGCTCTGGAATCAACTGTACCTGCAAAGTGCAAGGTCTATTTTTCTTTAGTAAATCAATCCCTATGCCTGTTCTTTCCGCACCTCTGCTCCATTCATAAATACTGCGCTTTCATTTCCTGAAACAAAATGTACTCTATTAATGGAGAGCTTGCAAATAAATCTCCATTCATAGAGTTTTCATTAGGTAGAAGGGAAAAAGATCAAACATTATCAGCTGGGAAGGTAGGATGGTGAGAGAATGAAGTTAAAGTGTACCAAACCCAGGACCCTGCATTCAGTATATCTGGTCTCCCACAGTACACACAACATGGAAATGCAATTATTTTAATTAAATATAAACTATAAATACATTTTCTCATCAGCAGCAGTTGGAGCAGTCTTGTGACTTCTATCAGTGTCCAGCCGAGCACTGGTTAAAGCTTGTAGTTGGAGTTTTCATTCTCTCCTATGAGTGTCTGGACAGTGCTGATTGGCCCTCTCCCAAGTAAAACAAAAACTCTCTAGCAATAAACACCAAAATGAGCATGTGCAGGTTGCCCCCAAGGCTCTGCGCTATCAGCAAATGGATTGGGGATAGTAGAAGAAGGAGAACATTATTTTTACAATGTGGAGGGTTAACCCCTTAGGTTCCATAGTGAGTATAACAAAAATGCTTTACTGCATATACAGACTGGTTTTACTGTTGTGGGTTTAGTAACACTTTAAGGACGGGTAAAGGCAGTACAAGATTGGAAAGGTTACTGGACACACAAAGGAACAGGCAGCAGGATTAGGGAATCATAGGTCCCAAGTAAGGCAGGCTCACAGGAACAAACCGAGACGAGGAACATACCGCAGAGTGGGATTATCCTTGCCTGTGAATTGTAGTGCCACCAGAAGTTGCTCTGGCTTTCCTGTATATTTCTGACACTTATACTGACAACTGAATTTGACTTTTGATTTAACAACTGGTATGCTTTAACTACGACCTATGAAGCTGCAGTCATGATTTGGCCATCATTAACAGCAGCCTGTCCAAGGTAGGCTTAAGTCTTATAAAATTCTAGCAACACCCCTGTTGCCATTGTTATATGAAAGAAAGCATCCTTGGCTTCCTTATAGATATACAGGTAAAACATCTGTGCTACAACCTGTACCCATCTTCTAGTGGCAGCCCAGACATTGGAGATTATTCCCTGGATATGTTCCTGTTTTGAGCACCATTCATTTTGATGTCAGGGATGCCAGGGAATCTTTTTTTTCTTTTTTAATTAACACAGAATGCAGAGTCCAGTGGAAGAAGAATTCAGGATTTTATCACCGAAGTAAAAAAAAAACCTTTATGAAATCAATGAGAGATCTTCCAAAATACCAAATGCTTTGTATCAAACACATATACTTCCAAGTACAAACAGCAGCATATGTGTGTTTCATGAGCAGTAAATGTGGTGCTGCATTTATTTCTGCTCTAGAAAAAGCAAAACAATGGAATACTAACTCAAACTGAGTTGTTTCTGGCTTTCACAGTAAAGCTTCATTAATACTTTTATACCCCGGTCACACCAGGTGCAACTTAGCATGCGATTTGCCATGCTATGCGTCTTGCAAATCGCATGGAAAGTCGCAACCTATAGTCCACAATTACAGCGGTCATAACGGTGAGATTCCGCACCGGTTTCTAAAGAAGTGCATGCACTACTTTGGGTACGACTTGCATAGACAAGCCGCAGATGTCTTGCAGGTCGCACCTCAAGTCAGAATACCATCCGACTTTGAAATTGTGCGACTGGAAGTTGAATCGATTTGACCAGGGTGTTAAGATCCAGAACAAGTAGAAATATAAATATTTTGGTATTTAACAAAAATTGCTTTGTGAATAACTCAAGCATTAGCACAGCCATCACAAATAATTCCAGCAATTTACCTACTACCTTTATTTCCTATGATTGTCAGCTCCATCTAGTGGCCATAGTATTTTCCTGAAATACCTCAATTATCAAAATACTACAGTGTGGTTACTAGATAAAGCTGACTATCCTAGGAAATAAACCTATTAGGCAGAGCATGGTAATTATTCATGAGGGATGTACATTTATTATGCATAGACCGTTAAGTTTCCTGATCTCAATTAACTAATTGAAATTAATTGTTAATTAATTAATTAATCAATTAAAAGTAACTCAGAAAGAATTGATACAGAGGGTCAACATAACAGCTAGAACATTTAGCATTTTCAGAAGAAAGTTGGGAATTGCAGCACCACTGTTTCTCTCCTGACAAGCTACAAATTGTAATATTTATTTGTAGCATATACTGTACATTGTAACATTTGATTTATCATTTTATTTTCAGGACACAAATCTGAAATACATTTACCTCCTACACTAGGTACTGTGATAGATTAGAAGAATGCCACATGCATCATTTTATTAAACTGACAAAATCGTAGGCCTAACCCCACAAACACAGGGCAGTCCTCTCCAGATGTGCAAAATATCTTTAAAGTGGAGCTTCACTCTCTCAATCAACATTGACTATTGTTATTCTTTATGCTGCGATCATTAGAAAATAGATAAGGACCATATATAATATTTACTTGTTTTAAACCTTTTTTTACATTTCTTAAGTTACTTCCTGGTTTCCATGTCTAGGCAAATGATGTCATACATCTCAGGTGTCTTCAGGAGGGGAGGAGGGGTTTTCTCAGCTGTGCATACCCTCCTGCCTGCATGCCTGAGCTAAAGGAAGATGGATTTCAGGAAATAAATAATCTGACCTTACTCAAGAAGGCCATGGCCAGAAATACTAGGTTTTGGATTTCAACATGATTTCTCAGCAAAATAAAGTATGGAGACGTAGATGGGTGGGGGAGTTTGCTTTGAATATTAAAAATGAATTAAATAGCGTTTTTGATTTTTGGTGCTCAAATGCTGCCTAGTTCTGCTTTAACCACTTGCCTTCCAGAGGATTTACCCCCCTTCCTGACTAGGCCATTTTTTGTGTTACGGCGCTGCATTACTTTAACTGACAATTGCACGGTCATGCAATACTGCATCCAAATGAAATTTACATCCTTTTTTTTCCCACAAATTGAGCTTTCTTTTGGTGATATTTGATTGCCTGTGTGCTTTTTATTGTTTGCGCTATAAGCAAAAAAAGACCGACAATTTTGAGGAAAAAAAACTATATTTTGGACTTTTTGCTATTAAACATGTCCAGTAAAAAAATTTTAAAAATCTAATTTCATCATAAATTTAGGTCAAAATGTATTCTGCGACATGTCTTTGCCAATACGTGTAAATTAATTGGTTTATGTGAAAGTTATAGCATTTAAAAATGGCGGTATAGATACTGGGATTTTTTTTTTTCAACTAGTAATGGCGGCGATCAGCAACTTTTAGCGGGGCTGCGGACATTCTGACACTGGGAGGGAACTAACTTGGTGTCACTGACATCCCCAGTGACACCAATACAGTGATCAGTGCTAATAAAAG